GATCTGCAGGTAGTTATAAGTTGGTCTCACAACTGCTTTTAGTGGGGTCAAGAGGTCTGGTATGAACCTATGCTGGCAAGTCTTCAACCTGGGAAACAGCTTCAATTCTTGAAATGGAGCTGTACTTGACGTAGCGACAACCGCGCATCGGTTGTGGACGAATGGTGGACATATTCATTTTACAGGTGGACGTCGTCTTAGCCGCAAGATCTTGGTTGTCATCAGTATAGTAGAACACAGGAAAAACCGATCTCGGGCACAGACCTAAGTCTGCTGCTCACAATTTCCGACCTACGTAATGTAAAAAGCTTGTCTAAACGACACGATCTCAGCCGTTGCCAATTCAATAGAACTCCACAAGCACCCGATGAGCGTAATGATAGTAAAGTCGGATCTTTTGATGGTTCCTATACACTTACCTAGATGGGAAGCCAGCCTTGTGACTATCGGACGATGCGACTATTGTGTACTACATTACTGGGGAAGCCTAACTGTAACTTCCATTTTGTCAGCGTCTGTGGTCGGTTGTGTAGACAGCGGGTAAGACGTGGAGGTTATTCTAAAAGCACCGTAGTGAAGTGGCCGTCGAGTGACCGTTAGTCAGAGGATCTGAATACTCTATTAGGTGACCCAAAGAAGTGGAATCGCACTGGTCTGCTTCGAAAATTCTGCCAGGTAATGGAATCCAGCTCTGCTCCAGCCTTCAACTGGCGACGCGAATGGGACTGACTCTCGACGTCAATTCCAAGACGAAGGCGAAGTGTGCCTCCTAGAGTCATAAACGCCGACACACCACAGTCCATCGTGGACAACTTGCTGTTCACGATACGTCATCGAGCGAGTGAATCTATTCAAGAATACATGGAATTGGTTGGCGCACTGTGTGGCCGCTAACCAGCGTCGGGGTACTATTTGCTGCTTAAGTAGACACATGCCTTTTTGTATATGCGAGCAAATTACTGCTAATTGGGGTTGTGCGCATAGTTTTATGTGATGAGGTTGATGGAGCCTGCTATGAGGCCTGAAAACCTCACAAACATTGTAGAAATCTAAGTTGTGGGAACGGCTAGTAGGAATCGTCTGATGCCCGTGTTGACTCATGATTGATAGGGGATGGGTCAAACCGCTTTTATGCATTGGATTAGATGGCGTTGTCTGTTCAATCAGGGGTGGGCGCAAGCTACTCGGTATTCAAGATTGTCCCACTGGAGATTATGGAGTAGGATAGACCAGGCTAAAAATATACGTGAAATGCCAATAATCCAAGTAATGCGAAAACCAGAACGAACTTGCGTGCTAATCGCGCAGTTGTGTACATTTTGTTTTTTACTGTTTCTCAGCCACATTTCGTCACATACGTTTTCATACCCATTAGATCCAGCTTCAACAGTGCAACTTAGTGCATTACAACTTACGGATCTAGCTTGTGTGGGTCACCTTTTATCACCATATCGCGGCTTACGCATCGTTACCACAGGAACACAATGGAGGAAGTTTCCGAATCAGGAACCAGACTGCAACATTTGTGGTCTCAAACGTAAGCCAACTCTGCTTTTTATCTGATGCTTCACCAATCAAAGCTGTCGACCGCTAATCAACCTAACTGTCGTACACTTTGTGTCCGTATCGCTCAATCGTTATGTTTACCGTATGAACGATCCGGCCGCCTAAACCTACCCCACTCGCCTTAGATGCACCGAACGTGACGACCTTGAGCGCATACGCAACCTGAAGGGAACAATGGGCAATCGGGCATTGATCGGAGTGGCATCCATCGACGCAGTGAAGCATAACAACCACGCAAAAGTCCATGTTAACGCATGCAGGTTGACAGTATTAGATGGTTTTCCTTCATGCCATAAAAATGTAGCGACTGGAATCCAGCGTTCCAAATGTCTTGACAAGTTCCAATCTAAGTGTTCCAAGCTCACAGTAAACCTGTAAAAGACACACTATAGCAAACCATATTCATTGTGGTTCTGTAAAGTATGCATGGTCATCCCCCTGGTAAAGATCGTTCATGAACTATCGCAAAAACAAGAAAGACTGGTGGCAATAATTGAGTAAATAAGAACACCAAAATTGATTCATTTGTACAAAGCGTGCTAGAGAGCAAAACCGAGTGGGGAAAAAGGCTGGGCAGTGCGTTAACCATGCGTCATCCGTCGCCTTGAGAGTCAATACCACCAGTTTCGCAAATACGCCTGAAACAACGAGCGCCAATCCGACTGGAATAAGTATGGCCAGGGCCTCGTCCACCCTCCAAACTGTTCCGAAATTTCAGAAGGGCGTTGACAACAGTGGTGGTTGGAACTTGGTCGCTGCCAAACGCAACTGGAAACAGCCTTCCAGCCACTCCCACTGGGCACAAAGTAAATGGAGACGAGGCTGTAGTTGCACAGCCTCCACCAGTTACATGCAGACCAGCTGAGCGATTGACTTCAACCTGAGTTGCACATAACATTCCTTGAAGCCGAACTGCGCATAGCCGACTGTTAACTGGTAACCAGTCTAGCAACGCAGCCTCGGCTTTCTTGCTTAGTGCTACCTCAACGCCAGCCAAAACTGCTGCAGCTGCTTCTGCGTCAGCGGATAGACGCAGTTGATATATGGTTCCGTGATCAGAAGGGGACGTCAGCCTGAGTACGCTGCTGGGAACCTGCAACCGGGTTTCGGAAACTCAGCAAACGTCAATGGTGAGAGACTTCAGGGTACACGTCAGAGCGGCCTGTTGACCAATCTGCATAAGCATTTGTACGTTGAAGCAGGCCAATTAAAATATAGATCGTTGAAGAATGACAGTCGATTGAGCTTTTCGGGTGTCGGCAAAACCGAGATCGGAGGCAGAATCAACGTAGGTGGGATTGACAACAAATGTAGTGTTGGCGTGTGATGGCAGCCGGCGAACGACATAAGTAGTGGTAGCAGAAGTGTGAAGGGAAGGTAAAAATTCACGGTTTTTCTCTGCGGACATGATACGAATAATCAAAAACATGCCACAGCTGTTTTCCCCAGATGCATTTCCATCCGTCATTAATGCATATCTCACAGTCCTCATTAACAAAGTGGCATCAACGAACCTCTTTGTCAGTGATGTCAGCTTCACTATCGCAGATGTTCCATCATAATCAATCCGTGTCAAGTAATGCTGCCTTAGTTCACTGTAAGCGCTCAATGTTCGTACTCAAAGAGATAGGTCAGTTGCGAGAGCACACGCTAGACACCACACGACTCGACATGCGTCACATATATGACACTGGAATCCATGTCCCTCGCACGGTAATCGAATTGACTGTGGAGAGCCGGCACGCTGGGCATTGGCTGCACCCACTTGGAGATGCTGATACAGAAAGCACGAGTCAAGCTGGAGCAAGAAGTTGTTCAAATATCCAGGGCACAATCCTGGTGGACTGATTACAATCACGTGAGAAGTCGTCCGTGTACAGCCTGTCTGGCAACATCAATTAAAGAAGGGCGTAGGGCAAAGTTAGGTGTTTTTGTTGTAGACATCGTCTACGCCCCACCAACTTCAGCCCAGATGCTACCAAACGTTGTAAACACAAACACCACACGCTAATGCTCAGAGTTACAGGTTCAGATATAGCTTTAGTTGCATGGGATGTGAACGCAGAAGTAGATCGTTTGAGCTCCTCAGCAGTTCAGTTAGGGAGGTAGCTTGACTCCAAACGCACGGATAATACTGAGCGCCTGCTGTGCCAATGGCTGACAGTTACTAGGTAACACTGATTTCAGGAATAGAGAGTACCGATGTGCTAACTGGTGTCCTCTGACAGCTTGTGGGTGATTGACTAGAATGGACCACAACGAAATATATTTCAGGTGACAGGCGGTACCGTCATTGGCTGTCAACTCAGACCATACCCTATTAGGCTGTGGATTTTCTATGTACCTAGTCAGGAAAGATGGTAGACGATTAAGGACCAAGAAGCAATCTCAACTTTATATTAGGCAAGCCAAACAAAGAGTCATGCGCTAGGCTTTATGGCAACTACGTTGGGGACACCCAGTACAATTGAAAAGTATATTCAATGTCATGTGTGACGCAGGAACTTCTGCTTAGAGTATTATAAACATCATCGAACGAGATACTGTATGACTGAAATATAAATAAGCTTGTTAAAATCGAGAAGAAACACAGAGGATGGGGTTGATCACGATGTGGCGAAAACGGAGCACTATATGTGATAAACAGAAGCCCACGAGCTGAGAAGGAAGCTTGGTGGGCTCATAGAGCTTAGGAAACGGTGGATGAAAGCGTGCCCAGTAAATGTCACAAACTTCCGCGACTAATTCGCATCACAAGTCACAGGAAGGTGTGTTTGTGAACTAATCGGTGTCGTGTAGCTCCAGCGTGTTCGCAACGAGGAGTTGCGAAGATGAATGTTAGACGCTGATTATCAGTTTAGTTGTTTGGAACAGCAGATAGCATTGAATGGGCTGACCTCACTGCCTACCAAAAACACTACCGTCTACTAGATATGGAGGACAGCGCAGGGCTCCGCGGGGTAGAGTTGACACTGTAGCGAAAAGTGAAGGCATCGATGCTTACATTGGAGTCCAGGAGATCCATGTTGTGTTTATCGAGGGACCTTACATAACATAGCTTGAAACCAGTATCAGTGTTGTGTTTGTTGTTATCTACTAACCGAACCGTCTACTCAAGATGGGTCTGATGCTGAGCTATTTGCCGAGTAAGGCTGGTTATGGCGCGATGCGATGAAAGCCCCAAGGAAGCATTCCCGTCGACGCTGCCTTATCGCAAAGGAACCAGTTGTCATGACCGTGTGCTACGGAAAAGGTATAAGCACCATGCTCCTGAATCAAGAGTAGGGCAGTGTGGATTTACACTAGATACTCCTCCACCCCATTTGATTAATTCGCACCGCTAAATCCATTATGATTGTATAGCAGCAAAATATCAGCTTATCTGACTGATGCACTGTTATCGATTGAGTGCAACATGAAAAAATGAGGCTTACTTAAAATGACGTTCGTATGTGATAAGGTAGTTTTGCAAATCCCGTAGTAAGCGAATAGGACAAGAATGGTCCAATCCGTCGGGAAGTGATTCATCCATTGGGTGAGAGAGGTGTTCAAGCCAAGTGGACGATGATTTGGTGTACCAGTGGTCGCTTAAGCAAGATGACTGTGTCAGTAAAGACTCAACTTGCCCAACTGCTTGGTCGGTAGTAGTGAAAATCCAATACATGGGGGGACAGTGGGCCACAACGCGAAGGAAACGAAAAATAGTGCGATAAAGTGGGACACGCATGGCTAAATCGAGAGCAGAATCGTTGCGCAAATAGCTGGTAATCAAAGAGAGTAGGCTTGATTGCGACAAGTGCAGCGAGATGTGACGAACCAAGCACTTCGGTCCGTCCACTGCGAAAGCCCACAAAAATGCTGCCAGCACATTGAAGAACATGATTGCATAGCTATCCTCGATCAGGACCTTTCTATTCAGAGTCTCTGTGTCCCATGCACTGGTGCAGCTTCCAGTGCAAAAGCCAGTGCCTTTCGCCCAAACGGAACTCGTCGATTCCGCTGATCGAGCTGCTGACTCAGTAGTAGACTTGGTTGAAGCAGACTTTTCTGTAGCACCAGCAGTCAAAGCGGATAATTGTCGTTTGAAATCGACCCGAGCGAGGTGAATGAGTCGATGATGCCTTCGAGTAGAAGTGGAGCGCGAAACCGTAGCATCTGGAGCAAAATCGAGTGTGGCGATTTGTGTCGATGAGCGTAGTTCCTGCGATGAGCTGTGAGAGATGCAATCAAGAAGAGCAAGGATTAGATCTAGAACGCCGGTCGAAAGGTGCTCGAATCCGATAGTTGCAACCTCAACGAGACGCGGCGAGTTAGAACGGAAATTAAGATAATAAGAACACAAAGCATCAAGTGCGAACGTGAGCAAATTTGGAGGGCTTGCAAGGGACGTAAGTTCGGCCAGCTCTTCAACTCCACTTGGCTGGTACATCAACGGTGAATGAATGGTCCGAAGTTCATACTGAACAAGATCACGCAGTAAGAGTGAAGTTTCCAGCCGCCGCACGCATTGAGAAACTAGCTCGCGACTCCCCGGCGGTGCAGGTACGTTAATCGCTGTCAAACACTCGGAGTAGCCAGGTAAACAAAGAAAAAGAGCTGTAGACAGCAGATGATGAAGCGGGGCAGGTTGCGCAACGGTACAATCCCATCCCGGGTCACTGGGTCCAAAATGTGCGAAGGCAGTTCGCTGAGATTTCGGAAAAACTATTGAAGAGCTAAAAGGAGGAGTAAAAATTGAGGCTGACACAGTACTCTTCAGTGAGCGCATTAGAAACTCGCCCCAACCACACAGAGGCTCGGAACCAACGGGGGGCGGCTGCTCGAGTTCCGCTGGAGAACAGCTAGCCTGTTCAATCGAACAACATTCAAATTTTATGTTTCTTGGCGTAGTGTTCTGGGATGAACAAGTAGACATGGAAAAAGAATGCATGACTGTATGCTGAACAATAAATTTGGCTAGAAACTGCAACACGTCGGTTTCAGATAATATAGACGAGAAAGCTGGTCTGCAGTCGGTTGAACATTGATGCAGATTAAAGATCTCGCTCTGAAGGGCAGGTGAACTAGGAACCTGAGGATGAGGGCAGGAGCGCACCAAAAAGCACAAAGATTCGAAGCCGGTCTGGGAATCGGGAAACAGTGATTGCGTCAATTGTCTCATATCCCACAAATCACTTTCGGCACCAATAGGGAGGTGGTAGGCATCGTTCCAAACCTTGGTGGTGACAGATCTACCAATCACAAAGGACGTCCTCGCCAAAGCGAGCTCGAATCCACGGAGAGCAGGCAACTCGGTGATAAGGGTTCGGTAGGACGACTCCAGTGGGATCGATACAAACGGAAAAAGGAGAGAACAGATCAACAAACGTATGTGCATGACGGACAAGTGTGCATCTTGTCGAGGTGTTTCACAGCATTGTAGCGAAAGGAATGCCGGAATATGACTTGGATGAATGTGATAGTTAAACTGCAAGTCGCGCGCACAACCACGAATCCAGGCGCAGAGACCACTGGGGGACAGTGAGTCGATGGGTGGAACGTGAGACGGGGAAACTGGGGGGCCTGTCAACATGGTAGCGAGTGAATCGTCCGAATAGTCAGTTGGAATAGCGAACACAGAAATAGTGCGTGTACCAACCACGGGTTTGCTGGCCTCCAAAAGCAAGCTTTGTATAAATTCGGGGAGTATGAAATCTGAGAAAGAAAATGAAGAAACGGTTGAGTAAGGGGGACAAAGACAACCAAAGGTTACATCCATAAAAAGATGGAAAACCCACTGATGCAGCAAACGAGGAGCGAAAACTCTAATAGACAGGAGTGGAATGCGCTCAACTGTTGAAAAACTGAAGATCGGAAAAGCCATAAACGGAATATTAAAGGAGACCGAAAGTAGCTGGTAAGTGGTGCCCTCTTGTAATCAGTGGAAAAAGACAGCGGATAGCTTTCCGGCGCTAAGCACTCTGATCGTTCAGCATTAACAGTGTCGAGATGAACATGCTGCTTCACAGTGTTACCAGTTCAGATATCGTTGCAGTTGCAGTGCATATGAATACGCAAGAAGGCATCAGCAGTACGCCAGTACGAAGTACCGACGCTTCGCTGCCGCGCGGTGGCACGTGCGCTAAGGATACTGCCAGGGTCGGAAATGCGCAAGTAGGTCATCTGTGCGCTGCACAAACTCAGCTACGGATATGTATGGACTTAACTCCGACCGGAGGAGAAACAGCAAGCGTCTGTTGCAACTAGGTGCGGAGCACTGGCTGTTTCTTAGTAGAAGCGTTTTTAGACAAGATGAGCGCCGAAGTGACACTTATCGTCCCCCCAAGCGGCCCAGCGATGGACCCAAATGGATCATGGTGCCATAAGTTACAGATGGCGTGGTTCCATCCTGGATTTCCGCCCTTTCTGGAGTACTTGCGTCGACTCCGATCATGCCTTGGTACACGGTTGTATTTCCTTCACCTTTACCGAGAGACATATAAAGCGCATCTCCCAATTGGCAACAGAGATGTCATCTCAGCCCTCGGTCAAGCAAGCTTACAAGGGTGTCTTGTGTACCGAACTTTTTCTCCCTTGTCCTAGTGACACTGAGTTTCAGTGAGATAGGATCGTGGCCGCCATGCACGATGCGGGAGCCTCTGCTGTCGGCAATATCAGTCGTCACCGCACCAGTCACTGGATACCCGAGAGGTCAGTGAACCTGTTGGAATTCAGAAGGAGACACCTGTTTGGTTCCGAACACAAGGTAACTAGGCTAACTATTAGGCGTGAACTAAAGTGGGGCTCAAGAAACTGAGGAAGCAGGAGCAGTGGGCAATCATCGCAAGCTTTCCCAAATTATCCGCACCACTGTTCCGAGAAAACTAGGCCTCCATGAGACAATCAGAGACAGCGCGACGCCCTGATTCACAATAAGAAGCGCCGTATGGCCTCTTCAAAATCACTTAATTTGCGCCCTGTTCCGCAGTCTTACTCAGGCGATGCAGAATGAGCCATGGCCGGTTAGTTTAGAGGCTCCATCGGAAGCTGAAGTCCGAAAAGCGATCGCAGCCCTTAATCGTTTTCGAGCTGCTGGCCCGGATTCCCTCCCACCTGCACTATTTAGAAACTGTAAATGCTTCTGCAAAGCATAGACCCAGCTGTTCGAACAGGTACGGAAGGAAGAGGTTACCTAGCTAACTGGAATTAACCGATCAGTGACAATATATAAAAAGAGCAGCCTCACCGACTGGGCTTACCACAGGGGTATTGGCCTAATGCCGGTAGTGAAGAAAGTATTCTTCATTGTCGCCTCATTGCGGAACTGGAATCCCGGACTAAGGTAGTTGAAGCAGACTTCCGCCCAAGATGAGACATGTACTAGAGCAGCAACACAGATACCGCAGGCCGACAATAGCAATGCTCCTCGATTCAATCGATTGCTCCATCCTCTTTGATACACTTGAGCGGAAAGGTGTTCCCGTGAAAAATAGGAACATTCTACGTGCCCTGTAATCGAACACCACAGGTTGCGTCAGGGTTTACTGTGGCTTGCCAGGTATCTTTTCGACAAGAAGTGGCGTTCGTCAGGGTTGTCCCATTTCTCTAGATTTGTTCAACTCCATCGAGGAATCCATCATGGGGAGTTTCTATGCGGAATCTTAAGATGCAGACATTGAGGTGCTGCGTGTTGGAAAAGTTGTTGATCTTGATTAGGCTGACGATATTGTCTTGTTGCTTAACGATGTTGTGACGGATCAGTCGACACTGAATAACTTTAGAAAGGTCCCAACATCCGGCATACGTTTCGCACCTTAATTTGGCAGCTGCATCAACAATCATGGGTGCAAAACCACTGAAGTCAACCCACGTACTGCAAAAGCTAGAACTGCCTTCTTAAATCTGCGACATCTGTGGCGTCGGAACGTTGTTTCCCCGCCTGAAAGTCCGTGTTTACAAGGAGACAGTGAGGGACATCCTACTCTATGGGAGTGAGCCTTTTCCTCTTCAGTCTGAAGCGCCTTCAAGTTTTCCATCATTGCTGTCTGCGGATCGATGTTGGTGTGGGGTGGAACCAGCGTGTACGCAACGATGATGTGCATACGCGAGTGCTAGGCAGTGACACAAAGTAGTTCATTAGAACAATAGAGAGCACTGAATAAGTTGCGTTGGATTGGGCATGTATTACACATGCCCAGTCACGACTTACCGACGATGGACTTGTTTTGTCTATCCGATGTAGAGTGCAAACACCGAGGAATGCAAGTGGAAACTTGGCTTTTGGGACTGAGGTAACTGACGATAAAACTGGATGCCGTCGGTACGTCTTGCCTTCCAGGCTGGAGTCCACGTGACTCGCCTTATGGGTGGCTGGAGAAGTTACGGGATATGGCTCGGAATCTGCACCAGTGGAGTATCTGCTGTCATCTAGTCTGACTGCTGTTCAAAGTGTGTCTGGTGCTGTTATTTGCGGGGTGGTGCCAGACTATGACTATGAACGCCAAACGAAAGCTGTCTCGACAATGCCGCCTTACCTTTTCAGGATAGACAAACGTTTATGACGTTTTGTTGTTGACAAGGCGTAGGCGCCTTGACCCTAAACGTTTGCTTAGGACATTAAGGTTTTACTCTATGACCCTCTTCCTCTTCTTCGTTCCGTAAGTCATTGCGTTTGTGCAGCAATAAATCATTTGTTTAAACGACTGATGTACTGCCATTACTGCTGTTGGTCATGATGATGAAGAAACCCACGAGTTGACGTAAACGCGGGGTCGGAGAACATAATCAATATAGGCGGATTGTACGTGTCTGTGATGGGATGGGATGATAAATGAGTCATCAGAAGTGGAGGGGAGTTGCTAGTCGACCTGGATGGGCTAGCCACTTCCACAAAAGGGTACAATAGGCGAGTAGGCAAGCTAAACCACTCAACTAAGGAATAAACAGTGGGCGGCGCAGATTCAGATCATTTTGTATGCGTCGCTATGATAAAAGTGATGAATAATGGCAGATGGGAAACTGTGGATTCAAAAACAAAAAAAGGATCGATAAGAGTTGGGTGGACCAAAGCTAGAAATCTAGAATATGTTGACTGAGAATCGGATGCAGGAAATGAATGCGATAGCACCATGTCAACAGTCCACCTAGAATATTGATGCGATGACACAAACACAAGTGATAGGCTCCTAGTTGGATTTTTATGGAGATTAATGGCATAGATAAGGTACCACATATTACCGAATATAAGCCCATCCATGGATAGGCCGACAGTATAACATTGCAATAAAAATTTTCTCCAGTCATAGGTCCTTATGTTGGCCGAACCACCAAGAATCTACCGGTAAGTGCTTTTCTGTCATGTCTTTCCCCATGCTATTGCGTGTGATGGTCTTAGACTCTGTACATCCCCGTATGTTCCATGCAACAACGACAGCAGCAGCAACAACAACAACTGTCATCCGTCGCGAAGGTCAAATGTGCAATATACCAAGAATTTTCGCAATAAAAATGGCGTGTCTAGTTATAGCCACATTGCCCGCAGTGCTGCGTGTACACCGTAAGAAAAAATGAGGCGCTTCGAAATCCCGTCACTAGCGGGTGGTGTTAAGGGGAGATAAAGGCAAGATGTACAGTGGATTCTTGGGTGGATTTTGCATGTTTTTCAAATTGCGCACAACATTTTGTAATCCGACCCCACCTCACAAGAATGAAAAATCGTCCAGAAATTAATGGCTTATATTCGGTAATATACGGTAATTTCCTCGATCAGCACCAAGGCCAGTCAACATCGGCAGTCATCTGACCGCGTGGCATTTCGACGAACATGTGTACTGAAACCAGCGTGCGGTGCGGTGGTCCAATCAGAGCACCTCCAACGCGTGGATCACATCACATCTGAACCCAAACAGCGACGATCGATACGCGCTAGGCTTTGCCACTTGACCTCGTGTCTTAACATGTGTGGACCCCAACAAGGTAAAATCGTCATCCACTATAACTGTGCAGGGGTGTGCACCCGAGACCTGGACACATACGAACAACCGGGATTAACGAACTTGCCGCTCAGCCGAGGTACGCGACCCACCTATCCTAATTGGCCGGAGATCCAAAAAATCAGCCCAAGAAGTAAACGTGAAGTTAAAACCGGTTGATTTGTATCGCTTAGCATATTTGAAACAGTGCTTCGTATCATTTATTTCGCGTCGTGTTGCTGTCCTACTGCCCAACCCTAGCATTTAATAGCTATATGTTTATCTTAACACCCAATTGGTATTCGCTAGAAATGCTTATTAGCACAGTAAGTACACAGTATGGACAGTAAGAAGTCTAAGAACTCGTTATTTAAATCGAAAATGAAAGCAGAAGCGACTATAAAACACAGGGATGTCACTGTTAAGAATCTACCCATTATTACAGTGAAAAGGGTACTTTCATCATCCAAAGTTCAAAAATTCGGATGTATCTGTGAAATATCCAAACTTCGCTACCAACATCCCGCCCGAAATGACTAGTTGAATTACGGCTCAAGAAGAATCTACCGGCTGAAAAACAAAAATGTATTTAGCTCCAGTTCTGATCAGGTTCAATCTCTGTGAATTGCTTACAGAATCTGCAAATGTTACGCTAGACCGATTATGCACGCCTGGTTCTTCACTATCTTCAATCACACCCGAGACTCAAGAACTTCTCTCTAGATCGAAAGTGTAATTATCCCCAACCTATCTGATAAGCTAAATATCGACAGAGTAAAATATGCTCTTCTAACAGCGTCCAATAATGAACGAAACCACCTGTCAATGCGTCGGGTTGAGAAAGAAGGGAAACATGACATCATGCCCAGTACTCCTGAAGTTTCCTGACGATACAAGTACATCACAGTTCGTCCGCAATAAAAGATTAATTCTTGCAAAAACTAACTTCAAAAACTTATGATTAAACCCCGGCAAACATCTCTTCAAAAGTGACTAATCCAGAAGCATAGCCACTTAGCCCCATCGAACTCCCCACGTTCCTAGTAGTAGAACCAGTAATGGTGTAGGGACAAGTAATGTCGACCTTGGGAAGTCAACAGCTCCCTCCAGAGTAGATGATGACTTGCGCTCCAGCCCTCCTCGTCCTCCTGAGAGGTTCTAATGTAGCAGGAGTGATGTTCCCCACTATATCAGCACCAACCAAACAGAGAATATATTGAATTAAGAGACACCTGCAGAAGACACACCCACTTCCTGTGTCACTTATAACAAACAAGAACCTGTACAGAATTTGGCAGTCGCTGTACCTACGACCCATTGTGCCCAAAAACAAAACGCAGATCACCATAATTTCAGCTACAGAGCTGGCACAGTCCTGCCAAAATTACCCGGATTTCAACGGCAACAGCATACTATCGGGCCCGAACAACACGGTTGCTATGCAGAGCGGAGCTCTCCCTACGGAAACTGCCGCCCATGGTCCACTCATCCGCGCAGATCACAACGGAGTTGTCACCAGTGAGAATACGGCCAACGTATCCCGCATAGTTTCCACTGTACACCCCAGTCTCACTAATTATCTCCCGGACTCTCCTCAAGTCAACAGCCTACTTCCTGAGCTGTGTTTGTGCCAATGCCTTAGCCACCGAGCACACTCAACAACTGTGGTGTGCCCAACATCTCAACAGCATCCAACCCATCTCTGCCCGGAGATAGGAACACTACATGGCAACTCATGTGCCAACAAACATCCACCTTTCCTTATAGTTCATATAACTACTACCGTTTTTATGAACTATAAATATGAAGGTGTAGAAAGAATGGTTGCCTTGGTTTATTCGGTAAACGCACTTACTATTGGCCAGTCGTCTTTCTGCGGGTCTCGGTACAGTCGTGCGGTGTTACTAGTTCGGTCTGCCTTGTCAGTTACGAGTTCACGTCTGTCGGCTAAGTCCACTATCCGTTCCAATTCGAATCGTCTATGCACCGTCTCAGAACCCCCTCCAGTAGTACTCGATGTTCAGCAACTCTGAAGCGACTACTACAAGATTGTAGAGAGATCCAACTAGACCAGCTGAGACAAAGTGGGCGATTTCAGGCTTCGGAGTGAAACACCGAAACCGCCATCAGGATAAGCAGCAGAAAGCTGACCCAATAGTTACCCACAGCACGCATGAGTATGATTCCAACTACCGTGGCTCTAAATTTGCAAAACCCCTGTAGGTGCAAAAATGACAAGGATATGGTTTGATGATGGGTATCCCGAGTGTGCACTAAAAAAGAAAGTAATCTGTGAAGACATAAATTAGACCTAATGATAGTTTACCATTTCGTGTTATTGAGTTCTTCAGTGTATCTGAGAGCAGATGAGCCAAACAGGTCTGATACATCGTCGGTGAGCACTGCTCAGATGGCCGTTCCAAAGGGATCATTAGAGTTCTACAAAGTTCCACGGCTACTCGACGCACGTTCCAGAGAGAGAGCGAAGAAGAGTAATGTGAAGTAAACGAAGAAGGTGAAGGCTGAATATGATGGAGCGGAGGAGTGAAGAGATCAAACAACCGCGGCAGGATCTTATCGCACACAAGGGCTCCCACGTGAATGCGCAGAGAGGTCGGCTGGTTGACATCCATGAGGCGCGCGAACAGACGCATATACCGAATAGCCTCGTTTTGTTGGTTTTGTATTGTTTCAGCATGTAAACAACGAGTCAAATGGGAGCAGCATTCGAATAACGGGTTTTCTGTGCTTTCGAATATCGTGTCAATTACGCCTTCCGACCGCAGCACGGCGGCCACAACGTCCAGACTCTCATCCGAAGGGAAGTGGGAGTTCACGAAACGTGAGATCAAACCCACAGTAATCGGTGGGTTCATGGCACAAATGGCACACAGCAATCCCTCGAGCGCATCGCGCAGATATTCCAATTCCATTCGCTGTCTTATTGATGGAGAAGATCCTGTGTCAGCAAGACACCGTGCGAGATGCATGTAAGCCGCACTCACAGAGCTGAGAGAGAAACAATGAGATAGTAAAATAAAAATACTCTGAGCAAAACAGACTCCCAAAAACGAGGCAAGCTGACCGAAAGGCTATAGCTGAATGTGAATTTTCGGTTAGAAAACTGTTAGTTTACAGGTGGAAAACAATACGTGTCGTTCAACAGGAATGTCTCCTTCTAACCCGATGCAGTCCCCGAACACCGGAGCAGTACGAACATACTTGTCTCCTTAATAGAACTGACAGGTTAGCTACATAGGGAGCAATGCAGAAGAGACGATAATTTGAAGACGTATAGTGGGTCAAACTGCAGCATTTCCATACTGAATATCTACCTCGATGGCAATAGGTATTGGATCGCAAACGGCTGAAAAACGGATTCACAGAGCCAGTGCTATGAAAGTGGAGTGAAATAATAAGGCTTCAGGAGAACATGACGCAGGCCATGTATTACCTCATAAACCACCGAATGCTATGGAAACATTTTGAATCAATTGTACGCTTAGAGAAGATGCACCAAGGTCAGCATAGGCAGATGAGTTCGGTTGTTGTTGGGTTGACTTAAAAGAACATGGTTGCTTCAAGGTTGGTGAATGAACAGTAGAGTTGTAATTTCCGTTTCGTTAAGGGCACAAAGTGTGGGTAGACAACCTGCCTCCAAATTCAAACAGGTCTGGAAATAATCGGTTGATGTATTTGTCGGGCGACGTTTCGCTTCTGACAACAAAGCTTTGTCCGAAAAGGTGAACTAGTGTACAATTAGAGGGGCATTTTATGGCGAGCAAGAGTAATAATGGCAATAGCAGGGATATGAGTAAAGTTGCTATATTGCAATTACGGGTCGGGGTGTCACTTCAAGTGTTTTCAGTCATAGTCGGATGAGCCTCGAAGTGACCACAACGATGTAACTAAAGAGGCGTTAAAAAGAAAACAAAAAGTTGTCTAAGTAAAGACGGTGCTCTGAGTGACAAGACGAAACTTACTGATGACCAAACAGTAATGGGTAAGAAGGCTCGAGCAGTAGTATCCTCACTCTTAGCCAATCCGGTAGATGCAGCACCTAAATCGCCGCTGATTGTCCTCCGTGAAGGTCAAAATATTGGGAAATCGTTTGGAGAGAAAGTCACCCTATTGTGCTGGCAGGATAATGTCAGTTTGTCCGGGAGTAGCCAGGAGAAAGGTTAGGGTTCTCAACCAAAGCATTTAGTTTATAAACCTGACCATAAAACAGCTGGAGTTTGTCCGTTAATAGAAATGAGGAGCCACCCTCATTCCAACCCCCAACCTGGAGAGTCAGGAAAGTGAGTTTTTCTGCCAATTAACCATTGAACAAGCTGATACGTGTGGCTCTAAAAGCGCCAGAAGCGCAACTCAGCACAACTCAGGGTCACTGAGGCACGCAAATCGCCACATCAAGATAAGGTCAAGCTTCATTGACCACGTGTAGTTCTGCAGAGTTTCGAATGATAGAAAGTCCGGGACCATGGTTACCGTCGAAGAGTGTTGGCTTTCTTGCGCTATACTTGTCAGAAGCTGACGGCGTAAAACGGGTAGTGGCATAGCAAACGAACAGAAATGCTCGCCCACTCATGAAATGCATATGGCGCCTAAGCTTTTCACCAATCGAACTAGCCGCAGAAATTGAAAACTGTCGCAGCTGTGTGCAAAAAGCGTTCACACCTACACCCCTTAATCACCCGTGTGAAAAACATGGGGGCGAGGTTTGGTGGCCAATATGTATGCGAAAAACTGATTTGAGTGATTTCAAGCTCAGTTGAGGAGATCAACAAGCAGCCTCAAGGGACCGCCAAATCATCCACATTGCGAGTGGCACCAGGACGAATAGTTCCAAGTATGAACAAACGTGCGAGAATTCGTTCTTCAATGCGCAGCGTTGTTAGTTCGAATTATAATTATAACAAACGAGTTTAACGAGATGAATATATGAGGAGAAATACAGAGTACTAAGTCACAGGTATAGTCCGGAACCAACAGCATCGTCTGGCAACATAAACAAGCACACAAATAAATTTGCGTGTGGCAGTACCAAGGTAAAAAGCAAGTAACGTGCCATCGACTGTATGACCACATGAGTTGAACGATGTTGATCTTCTGGTTCGAAATTGATTTGATGAATGGACTCACGTCGGCTTCATGCTGAAGCCGATTTTCCATATACCATGCTTCTTCGCCGCAGTTGGACTACTCCGATTTAGATGGAACTTCGCTTCCATTTCTCTAACTCTCTCCTTTTTGTGATTGTTATTCATGTGTTGTGGCACTCTGCCAAATCCTTAATGAGCAGGTCTTAATTATATATGGTTGGTTGGCGGCATCCGGTTTCGGATTTGCCTGTCACTGTGGCAAGCCACAGGACGCCTGCGCCTACAGAGGGACCATGGATGGCTTGCGCTGCACCACCCACAGTTCCAACCACACACCCCATATCCAGTGTAAACCCGAAGGAATAAGACCGGGAGGCATGTGGATGGGAGCCACGTTTCATCAACGGAGCCGGCCCACACTCCTTCACAGGCAAACACAAGCACGCTGTATTTGGGGAATCAAGCGCACACAAGGCGGTGGCTGGACCGTAGTCCGCTCCACACTGAATGCACGGAACCACTCTTTGATCCTAACACGGCCACAAGGACCGTGCACCCCGTCCCCTCCAGCAACGACCAACTGTCTCCTGGAGCCAGTATGGACGACGTAGTGGGTAATAGACAGGTAGGCACCTTGTCAACATGCACATCAAGCGCAGCCACACCGGGGATATCAAGCAACAGCCAAACATTTGAGAGAGAGAGAAAGAAAAAGAGAAAAACTCGATTAATGCATAAGGAAACGGTGACATAATCCTTAATTAAATAGCGTACGTAATAAGTTGTTTACAGACAAATCCTAGCTAAGTGCACGAGGTCAGGAAGTATAGTTCACGGAATGCCACGAACACAAAAATGTTATGGAAATCGAATACAATTGGCTGAAGCGATGTGTGCAAGTTAATGGAATAGAGCACAGGGAGATATTTATATGAGAAAGAAAAGCATTAAGGTAAAAACTGTAAACCCACCACCTGAAATAAAGAGACTTAGCATGCAAGCACGCGGTTAGTAAATCGAATTCAGCGTGCCTACAAACGCTGCGCCGGCTCGTCGTAATTCTCTGCAGGACCCGTCGTCGCTTCTGTAGTGGTCCCAGATGGCACAGCTCATGGCCCACTAGACATTTATATGAGAAAGAAAGGCATTAGGAGAGAACCGAAAACCCACCACCTGAAATAAAGAGACTTAGCATGCAAGCATGCGGTTAGTAAATCGAATTCAGCGTGCCTACAAACGCTGCGCCGGTGCTGCCTACGTTCACTGCGGGACCCGTCGTCGCTTCGGCAGTGGTCCCGAGTGACCTCTCTCATGGCTCACTAGGCCTGCCTGACTAAGGCACTCGCGACTACATGTTCTACAGCACCATGCGCTCGATGTCGATGGAGTACAATTCATTGGTGCTTGCCGCTTCCGCACTTACCGCTTCTTCTCTGCATGCATGAGGGCTTTCTCCCGCACTTCAGCAACTGCCTTCGTGATTAGATCGCGCCATGCACCACGATCAACCGCCTTCGATTCCCATGATCTGCAATCAAGATTAGAACGTGTGAGGCTCACTTTAATCATGTCCTGGTAACGTAACTTTGGTTTCCCCACGTGCCGCTTCCCAATACTCAGCTGACCGTATAAGAGTTGTTTCGGTATTCGCGTCGAATCCATACGGCTCACATGACCGAGCCATCTCAGATGTCGCAGTAAAAGTATGCCGTCCACTGCATACATCCCACTTCGGCGCAACACTTCCGTGTCTGCAACTCTGGCGCCCCAGCCGATCCGCAAAATTCGTCGCAGACACTGCTGATGGAACCGCTCGAGATATCGCACATCCCGCCGGTACATCGTCCACGTTTCACTGCCGTATAGAAGAACGGACAGTACAAAGGATTTGTACACCATCAGCTTCGTGCCAATGCTAAGCTGATGGTTGTTCCACACTCGGTACTCAAGCTTCCCGAATGCAGCTGCCGCCTTCGACACGCGATTACACAACTCAACATGTAGCTGCTGATCAGTCGACATCACACTCCCAAGGTAGCAGAAGCGGGAGGTGGCTTCCAATACTTCAGCACCAATGCTGATTCGCGGCAATATTGAAGATTGCACCTCCGGTGAAGGCTGAAAGAGACAGACAGTTTTGCTTGTGTTGATGGTGAGCCCGAATTTGGCCGCTGTCGAAGCCAGAGCACTAGTCATGTGCTGCAACTCATCCGCGCTGTGTGAAAACAACGCACAGTCGTCAGCAAACAGCAACATACGGATAGTTGTCTCACAGACTAGAGTTCTCGCACCGAAACGACGGATGTTCAGCAACCCATCATCAATACGGTGCTCCACACGAACACCGTAAGCACAAGCGGCATCAAAAGCACAGGACAACATTGCATGAAGATATATATTAAACAGGGCAGGAGCTAAGACACAGCCTTGCTTCACACCAGAGACAACTGCAAAGTCGTCCGAGGTCTCTCCACTCAGCTGCACCCTCGCTCGCATACCACTGTGCAGACATTCAATTAAACTTACAAACTTACGCGGGCAACCAAACTTACCCAACACCAGCCACAATGCCCCGCGGTTCACCGTATCAAATGCCTTGGTGAAATCAACAAAAAGCGAGTACAATGGCTGGTGTCGTTCTCTGCACTTCTCTTGCTGCTGATGAACCGCAAACACCATATCTATAGTGCTGCGACCCGAACGGAATCCACATTGCTCTTCCGCCACGTTTGGTTCCACAATCTGACTCACGAGGCGATTGAGCAGGATTCGGGCAATCACCTTGCCCACACAACAGCAAGTTGATGCCACGATAATTCGTGCAACATTGCTTGCTACCTTTGCCCTTGTACAGTGGTAGCACAAGGGCATTCTTCAGCTCAGCAGGCACCTCCTCCTCAATCCACACGCGTTGCACCAAGTGGTGCAGCGCAGTCAACAACGCAGGTCCACCGTGTTTCAATACTTCAGGTGGGATCCCGTCACCTCCGGCACATTTGCCTTTTCGCAGCTGAGCAAGTGCTCTCTGCGTCTCATCCAGTCTCGGCGTATCCGCCAGACCCGCCTTCACATCGTGCTGCTTCAGGCCATTCAATGTAGGCCAGTCGATCTCTGAACGGTTGTTCAAGAGACAGTCAAAGTGTTTCCGCCAGACCTGCATTATGTCTGCAGTCTGGGTGCAGGTAGCGCCTGAACTACCATCGATCAGTGTCCTCAGCGGCTCCAATCTCGGTCCATACACCGCCTTCAAGGAGTCAAAGAATTCCTTGTGTTGACGGCGTTCGGCGTAGCATTCCATCTGCTTCGCCTTCTCCGTCCACCATGCATTTTTAATGCGACGGAGCTCTCGGGTCAGTCGCCGTCGAAGTTTGCGAAACTGACTACTCTTCCCCAAGTCACTGGGGTCTGCAACATGTGCAGTAAATGCTGCACTCTTCTCTGACACCAATGCGTCAATCGTCACATTGTTATCATCAAACCAATCAGGCCGCTTACAGTTTGCGCGCCCGATGGTCTCCTCCGCAGCAGCTGTCACCTGGTCGCGAATGTGGTGCCACAGGTCGCCCACTGTGGCTATACAGTCCACATCACCACACAGGCGTGCAGCCATCGCCTTCTGCAGCTCAGTACGTTTCGCCACAGTACCGAGGGAGAGAATGTTAAATTTACGCCGATTCACGGCGGGAGTGCAATACATCGATTTACGAAAATATATGTACAGTTTGGTCCGAACCAATTTGTGATCAGTGTCACACTCAGCTCCACGCAGTACACGTGTCATGCGCACTTCACGCATATCACGCTGACGTACGATGACATAGTCGAGCAGGTGAGCGTGACCACTCCGTGGGTGCGTCCAAGTTGCTATATCACTCGCACTCAGTGCAAACCGAGTGTTCGTGATCGTCAGGCTGTGAGTGGCACACAGTGAGAGCAGCCTGTCACCGTTCGCATTCGCTGAACCAATGCCATGCGAACCGATAACATCTGTCCACGCTGATGCATCACGCCCAACGCGCGCGTTGAAATCACCCAGCAGAAATAGTCGGTCGCTCTTCGGCACAGACCGTATCACGGAGGATAGCTCAGTGTAGAACTGATCACGCGTGTCATCAGGATAAAACATGGTCGGACCGTACGTGCTTATAATAGTAGCAAACTTACCTCTTCCGAGTCGTAGGCGAACAGTCATCAGCCGCGCGCTGATGCCCGTTGGTTCACCCACCAGCTGGCCATTCAGGCGGTCGGATATTGCAAATCCGACCCCATGTTCACGTGGTGCTGAGGCGGCGTTCCCCACCCAGTAGAATGTGTAGCCAGCACCTGCTTCATGTAACTTACCTTGCTCAGCGAGCCGAGTTTCACTGAGCGCCGCAATATCGATGTGGTAGCGCGCCAGCTCCATTGCGACCAGTGCAGTGCGTCGCTCCGGGCGCTCGCTGGAGTTCCGGTCCAGTAGTGTGCGCACGTTCCAGCACCCGATGCTGAGTGCTTTGCGCGTAGGCATACGATTGCATTGGTGGGCAATCGCACGCGAGGTGGTCGTTGTGCTTCGGAGGTTTGCTTGAGGGACTCCACCCGGAGCCTTTGGCTCAATAGCCTGACCCACAAGGCAGTGGGTGGTTTGGAGGTTTGCTTGAGGGACTCCGCCCGGAGCCTTTGGCTCAATAGCCTGACCCACAAGGCAGTGGAGAGCAGATCCAGCTCGGGAATGTGATTGCAGAGACAGATTGGGATCTGCTTGACGGCCGTCACACACAGCCTTTGAGGTTCTGGAACAGTTATCATATGTTTTGCGACCGTAATTGGATACGCACCTGCGACCACGGCCAGACGCAGGTGGGTTTTTGGCGGGTTTGCACCAATTTGACCAGGGGCTGCCTGGCTTGAGGCGGGCAGTAGCAAACCATTGAACACCCGGAGGTGTCCTCCCACCGTCAGAGACAATGCGTGGCACTCGTGCTCTACGCCAATCGAGCATTGAGGATATAACCCGTAAACCTGTTGTCTCCCATAGCTAGGTTTTACGGGAAGTGGGCCATCGACCACTTCCTAACCTCCGGAGAGGATGGACTAGGATAATGCCAGGGCGCCCAATCCTGACAGGAGGACGACTCGGGTCCTCAGCCAAAGCCTTCGATTAAATGAACACCCGAAAGGCAGCGGGTCTAGCACATGGTCAGTTAGCTGACTCATGCGGATTGGTGTCCTGGAGCTTAGCAGGGAGAAGGGCGAAACCTAACTCCCACCCAGCGGTCGCCACGTGGAGGCGCCCAGGACATGAGACTATGGCGCAGCAGTAGCAGCAGTGGGTAGACCATCTGTCAGGATCTAGACACCACCAGCCTCAGCGCACCATAGGCTCTCCCGCCTATATATATATATATATATATATATATATATATATATATATATATATATATATATATATATATATATATACTGTATATGTTCTTTAAATAACCACGAATCCTACAAATGATCTTGACTGCCGCACACTTTCTTCTTGTTTCCCCGAGGGCGATTTGACGCAAGCGCGTGATCGGAGTCCACGCACGTGCTCCAAATCCAGTGACAGTTTTGGACACAGCCTCTGCAGCGGTAACTGATCGCGTTATGATCGATTTGCACCCTTGGCTGGTGGGCGCCATGCCACTCTTCTGCGCGTCTTAGGTTGGAAGTTAGTGCTCGCGAGAAACAGACGAGCATCCTCACATTGATGTAGCAACCGCTCGCCGTTATCACTACGGGAGCCTACACCGTGTTGGCCGCCCAGATGAAGCTCGTCAGTGGACATTTCTCCTACTTGGGCGTTTAACTCACCCACAAGCACCACTGTATCCGTACACTATCTGTGACGAATGGCACTTTCCGCTGATGATGTAAATCATCTTTTACTGAGTCCGTTACTCTCATTTGTGGTTGCATTGCCAGCAATAACAAAGTGGCACCGCTTTCCATGCTGGACTTCGAAGCTTTGAACGACTCGGCCAATCTAACGACGCATATCCGGCTGTTAATTGACATTAGACGTTTTTTGGCTGCAGGGCGCATTTTAGGCAATACTACTTGAACACTTCTCTCGCCTCCAGTTTGAGTCTATCGATTTACTTTTAGTATCACGAGTTTATTGACGATGTGCTCCACTTTAACTAACTAGTTCTTTGGGAACTGCGTAAAAACACACCTTTTCTATGTTAACTTGTTACCGCCTAAACTTAATTTCGTATTCGCGGCACTTAGACTGCTATTTTTGTGCCTGCTCGCCTGTTCGTGCCTTCCTTGTGTCCCTTTGGTATATGATCTCCTCACATTTTGTATCTGCTCCACAAAATTTAACATTGTGAAAGTAGTGTTTTTAGAACTATGGCGGACTGATCTCACCAGTGCATTTCCAGTGTTAGCGGGGTATCAAAATGTATGCAATCCGCTTTTTTCCAACGCTAAACGTGGCAAAGTGTTCTTATCTGCTCACCTGCTATTCATTTTTCTGCTGTTGGTACCTACTGCACGATCGCTCGAGCGGTGGGACACAGAGTCGATGTCAAGCCTTGGGTCCCATATTCCCTTCGCGCAAAGTAGTTTCCTCAATTCAATATCCTACACTCACTAGATGAAGCGATGCTCCTCATACTACATATTTTCGTACCCTGTTGCTTCTTCTTGCTGTGTCCCAGTTACCTTGCATTCTGTCCCGTGCCCGTCTACCAATTTCAAACTTTCCAGCTCTTTTGATTGCTCCTGTCCCTTTCTCTTCTTTGCCGTTCGCTTCCCTTACAATGCGCGCCCCGGCAGATAGATCCACTGCAGTTCTCTGCGTTTTGTCAGCTCTGATCCACTGAATTCACTCACAGGTTTCAGTACCGTGTTCATCTATTCGGTACATTAGCCTGATATTGATTTCCCATCAGTAGTGAGAGCTCATGCAACACGATGAACATCCGGCCTGATGAGGCTTTCTGCTTTTTCTCCATTCTATCGCTATACTTCGGAGGTTTAGATTTCAGTCGATTCGTTTCATAACAAGTGCATTTCTAAAGGAAATTGTGAATAGTTATAATACTAATATTTTCCCCGTTGATGATAACTGCGCACCTCCTTCCTTTTTACTATGGATCTGTCTATTTTTACTCAGAGGGCTTTGGAGTTCCGTTTGATCGACCTTCTGATGGAAACTTGTAGCGCATGTGAGTTACTCTTACTTGTCATTAATTTATCGTTGATGCAATTCACATAGTTTTCCAGTTCACAAGCTCATCTTCACCTACCTTATAGACAGGATTCACTTATTGCGTACCTCGCTGTAGGTTAGGTTTTCTCGTCATATTTTTTACTGATTTGATGCCCGCATGCCAGGTTGTTAATGTTCTGTCTGGCCGACCGAATAATCTTTCCAAAAATGATTGAACTTACGCTTCCGCAGTTTAGTCTTATCGTATGGTTGCGGTAAAAAGATTATCTTCGTTGTCAATCACTTTTGGGTTCCTCTTGCCAATTTGCACAGTGCTGTACAATATTTGTTTTCCGGCTCTATTTTCAGCGCTGGTACGGTTGAAGGCCATCCTTCCCAAATACAAGACAAGGAACTGCGTCCAAAAATTAAATATATACATACTATCATCTAATAATAACCATCGTCTTCATCAACAGCATTACATCAGCCAATCGGAATGATGCTACGCTACGCTAAAACCACGGCGACTTAATTAAATAGGCACTGTAAGAGGAAAAGAAGTGGGATCTAGCACAAACGCTTAATGCCCCAAGCCAGCACTCACCTTCATGGTGCCTGCACCTTGACAACGACAAACCGTCACAAACAGCTAGCAATCATGTAAAGATAACGCAGCATCGCCGATACAGCTTCCTTGCGGCATTCACTGCCCGCGTCGTAATCAGCCATTACCCCAAAGATAATTATCAAACACATTTTAAACAGGCAATCTGACTAGGAGACGGCACCAGACGCGCTACTGGTACTGAATGCCAGCTGTTCCGTAAATTATCGAGCCAAGCTCGAGGGGATTGAGCGGAATCAAACACTACTCAGGCGGACTAGCGGCGCCAATTTTATAGTCAGTGACTTCAGTTCCCGCTACCAAGTTAAGTTTTGCTCACTTGGAGCTATGCGCAGCCCTGCATTCGGTAAACAAAACAAGGATATGTTCGGTAAACGGTGACCGCGCATCCGTCGTACGTGTCCAAGCCAACACAGCTTATTTAGTGCTCTCTGTTGTTATAGGGAACTAACTTGATTCTTACTACTTTATACTAGCATACACGTATAATCATATCGGATTTGTTGGCGTCATCCGCCGCCAGCAATGCTCCGCAGAAGGCGATGATCAAAGATTCGGTGACGTCTCTGATCGAAGGGGCCAAGTGTCACTCCTATAGAAAAGAAAGGTCATCACGGTGTCCTTGTAAACAGCCTTTTAGACCCAGCGAAACCCCTTTCTGATGCCACAGATGTCGCAGATGCAAGAAGGCAGTTCCAGCTTTTGCAGTACGTGAACTGACTTCAGTGGTTATGCGCCCATCGTTGTTGATGCAGCTGCCAAGGTAAGTGAATTGATCAACCACCTCGCGTTCCCCGCCATCAAATGTCATCAAGTTGCTGGTGGTGCTGCGGCAATACTTTACACCTTGTATGCACGAAGCGCATGCCAAATCTTGAGAACACTCTTGAGAATAAGTTCAAGGTTAATTGGGCTGCCCCAACCTCGTTGACTGCAAAACAATATCGTCTGCGTAATCAAAATTACTACCTCAACAAATGATACCTCAACGCATGCATCGTGTAACTCCGCAAGAGAACACTCCATGACCCAGTCCGCGATGAAGTTGAACAAAATGGGGAAATTGAGCAATTCTTGCAAACGCCACTTGTTGTCGGGTTGATATCTGACACATCACCGAACGCCCTGATTCGACGTGTCATGTCCGAGTACATGGCACGTAAAATGTTCATCTATTTCATGGGGACACCTTTCCGCACAAGTATCTTTGACAACGTAGTTCGATCGACTTAGTCGAACACACTCTTGAAGTCTAGGAACATAGCTATTGTCGGTCTGGGGTACATGTAGCGCTGCTGTAGCATCTGTCGTACAGTTAGTATATGGTTTATACAGCCACATCCTAGGCGGAACCCTGCTTGCTCTTTCCTACTCTGGGATTTCCGTTCCGCAGTGAGGCGATGAATGAGGATTGTGGCTAGTAATGTTGTCACTACATGCGTTAAGCTAGCGCCCCTGTGCTTAGCACAGCCAGTGCGGCTGCTCTTCCTGTATATTGCGGCCATAGTCGATTCACTCCGGTTAGCTTGAATTGTCTCTTCCTTCCAGACCATTTCGATCAAAGCGGTAAGTGCCTTGCATAAAACCCCACAACCATACTTAAATAGTTATGGTGCGAGGGAATCCGGGCTAACAACACCAAAACGATTAAGAGCTGTGGTCGCGTTTCGCTCCTCAGCCTCCGATGTAGCCTCTAACTTAGCCGCCCATGACAGCCTGCACCACCTGAGTAGCAACTGCTCCAGGGGCAGGGTGGTAAATGAACTGGTCTTTATATTGTTCCGTCCAACGAGCCGTACGGTGCTCCTTATTGTAAATCAGGGCACCCGCGCTATCTCTGATAGCCTCACTGACACCTGGTTTTCTCTGACCAGTAGTGCGGATCAGTTGAAATACTTGGAGCCAATTGCCTACTGCTCTCGCATTCTCCATTTCATGAGCCCTACTATTCCACCAGGCATCCTTGTTAGCACGCAGGTTTTACTTTAATTCTCGCCTAATATTCCGTCTGGCTTCACTGAAGTCGCAGTCAGCAGGAAGTTGTCTTCTGTCTTCTAATGGATGCACTGACATCTCGGATATCCGGTAACTAGTGCTATAACGTTTTATAGGAATGCAAGCAAAGGCTCCCGCATAATTCATGGCTGCTGAGATCCTATTCCATTTAATCTCAGTACCTTTCGGGCGAGAGAGCGGAATATCGGCACGTAGGCATCCTGGTTAGTTTGACTGATCGATGACTGAGATAACATCTCAGTTGTCAGTTTAAGAAGGTGCTTTGTACGCCTCCCCATAAACTTAATGGAAAAACGTGAGCGCGTCAATTCATGTTCAGAGTCGACGCAGATATTTCAGAATGAGCGACATTCCAGGAGGGAAATACGTCACCTGTACTTTAGGGCAACGTGATCAGTTTGGGTCCATCGCTGGCCGGTTGTAGATGAATGCCAAATGGCACTTCGACACCCATTGTGTCTAAAAGCGGTGCTGTTAAAAAACATCTGGTACTCTACACCCATTTGCAACAGACGCTCGCTGTTGCTCGTCCGATCTCAGTAAAGTCTATACTTACCACCCAGATGAGCGTTTGAAGCGCACACGCTATCTGGTTTTGCGTTCATATCCCCTGCAATATCAGTGATATCTGAACTGGTGATACTGCAAAGCAGCGTGTTCAGTTCGTGTTGGAAAGTGTCATTGGCAACATCAGAACTACATTCAGTGAGAGCATAAGCATAAATCACAAGCAAGCGAAGTCTAGTGCTAGTTCATAAATCAACCTTAGTCGATGTTATCACACGGGCTGCACACAAACGGCTGGTCACAGGAATCCAATCAACTGGGGATGAGTCAGCATTTAATCTGAGGTCCATGCCTGCCGCAGCTAAACTAGTGGTTGCCGCATCAGCTTCTCCAGATGCGTGCAACCACTAGCTCGAGAATAAACTGGTTGCAGTTAGTTCAACAACCCCATCAATACCCAGTGTGCCCAACGTGAGCACGAGTACAGCCTGTTGACTTATTTGTCTTAGAGTGCGAATGTTGCGGTCCGATAACGAAAAGTGCCAACCTGACTTATGTAAGGGGCTGCTGCCGGTAAGCGTTCAGTGGTTGGTGCGGGAAGATATATGCAGGTAATAGAACTGCAGTGGCATTGCGGGTGTTGTTAATTAAGCTGTGAATTGTAGACGAAATGTTAGTAATGTCGGTTTGGAGGGGAAGTAAGGAGGCGCCTAGGGTAGCATGTTTCCGCTTATCCGCGCACCTTTGTATACAGTAGATTAGACGACCCTGGCAAACTACGCAACGAGCGATGCAATCTGGGGAGTCGGCCGATGGTCGAGTGGTCTGCACGCTTGGCTTGCGGTCATAAGATCACCGGTTCGAGTTCGCGTAGGAGCGGGCGTCCTCGCGGTATACTCAGCCCGCGCGCGACTGATGCTTGTCGCGTGGCAGCGAAGCGCCTTTTCGGCCTACAGCTGGCGCCTTATTTCTTAGTTTTCAAGTTAGTGGAAGTAGTCGAGGTTGTAGGTGGGCAGAGATGCTGTCATGACGCCCAGACCTAGACAAGTGGGCGATTTGGCTCCCCAACGAAAGCCTTCGGTTCAAAAGCCTGTCTGCATGGCAAGGCCATCTCTAGATGGCAAAGATTTGGCTTTAGAAAAATGAACGACATCCCCTTTCCAACCAGTAACCTGGAGGGCCAGGCGACTGAATTAGTCTGACATCTAACCATTCTGGTAGAGGCCCGGGGTTACCACACATTATAGCTAATTGTTTTGACGAGGTACGCAAACTGTCGCAGCCTGTTAATATGCAGTCACGTTGTGACTGCTTTTTGCGGACACTGTGTTTGCGCCTTCAGCCCTAATATTTTTTAGGGTATTCTTCTTTTACGCCGGGTCTCGCTTCTCTGCATTTTGTTTTTTCCTTCCGTATGTTATTCGGGTTGTTCTATGCGTAGCATCCACTCAACTAGCTGATCTATTGTTGTTTTATTATCATCGTACCTTCGGGTGTACTCATGGCGCAGGGATTTAGACAGTCGTGTTTTTGGAGTGAAGTCCGTATTTCAGCTGGGTTGGATTTCCTATGTTACACCTGAATTCAGCTTAGTCCATTGTCCGCTCCACCGGTTTTACTCGCTTTTTACTGGGTGCTCCTCAAGTTGTTATTTACCGTTGCGTATACGCTGGTTCTTGCTAGCAATTTTATTCTTGACATCAAAGCAATGCAAATGATTATTCGTCTGGACATCGATTTATCCGGCTTATCACCAAACGTATAACTACTTTCATGCTCCTTTTATGTATTTGGTATCAACAGGATATCTGAACTGTTCCGATGTTGGTAACAACGACCGAGTTTTTAGACTGTTACCTATGGGTTCGATCACAGTATTTCATTACCCACATACTGACAAGACTATGGTAGCCATGTACCTTATACATTATTTTTCGGTTTTCTTGTCATTTTTTGTCGTTGCACAACTGCTTGTATTCCGTTGCGCCTCTTCGGCGTACCGGTTGCTTTCGTCATATTGTTCTGCAACTTTTAACGTAGAAAATAATCTCGAAGAAGACATCAGAGGCAAAATACAGCTAGGCGAACACGCTTGTAATCTGGCTATTAAACCGCAGCAAATAGGAATGCAACCAACACGGGACATTTATACGCGATGAATTAATACAGCGAATCACCCGGTCAGTGTGACTAAGTAATGGCACTGGCTGGGGCAACAATAATGGAAGGGTTAAAAGCATTGTCATCGCGCCAGGGTAATTGAAGAGCCTGGGCAAAATTCTTTTGGGGACATAAGTTGGGTTTATGTAGCCGAATATCCATCGTCTCCGATGTCGCGATAGCGGGGTGCTCGCTTGTAGTGTCCGGATATTCGGTAGATTGGCTGGTAGGCCTCTCACACGTTGATTTGGTGATTAGAGTTGGCCAAATGCCACAGTATCGCGCTCACTAAAGTCTTACACCCAGGTATGCAGCCACGTCGGGCATTGTTCTCTAACTCACTCATAAACTCTCCTAGTCGCCTTTCCAATATAACTCGCTCGACACGAGCGAGGAAAGTGGTACACGTGGAAGGAAATATTCGACCTTTGTTTCCTGTTTTTGAGTTGTTACTTCACAACTGGCTTCACAACGGAGGTTAGCTGCAAATAGGTTCTTGCAGTGGCGTTGGAGAGTCTTCGCGTGACTCGTTCCGTTTGCACGCCACTCTGTGTCATTTTGACTACAGTTGCATCTTTAACCATCCCATACTCTCTATTGATCTCAATTGGATCAGATTCATTCTCATGCAGTCACATGCGCACCTGCTGCGTGCGTGTAACTCTCGATGTTAATGCTCTGCTGAGCCCTAGGTTGTCTCATCTGGCCTCCTATCCGAGGACTTCTGCCGACGATTGGTTATTGCTGGATTTCCGATTTACTCTTCTCAGGCAGCGATTCCGGTGCGTTGCCTGTTTGTCTTATACAGTGACTACAGTTTCGCCACTGACTGCTCATCACTACTATGTCCTTGCTTCGATGGTTCTTATTCGCAGCATTAGCTTTTCTACGTTGGTGCTGGGTTTTAAAACTTTTGTTTCAGTTGCATCTGCACTACTTTTTGCCGGAAGCCAGCTGTATTATTTCTCTTGTTCCCGTTCTAGCGATTGCGCCAGATGATGTTGAGGTGCATAGTGCCTACCTATTGACCTCCAAATGCGATTCGCTATCATCAATCCAACCAACTTTTAAGCTCCCTTCGGGCAACGCTGTTCCTCATCCCCCGGCGAAGCACCACCTGATTATTGGTTGTCGCGTCGCCACCTTTGTCGTTAAGTCGATGCAGGAAAGGGGTGCTATTTTCGTGAAGAGCGTTGGGAGATTCGATTCAGCTTCACTCTGTCTGCTGATCGTCCAGCTTTATCCATTAAATTCTTTGGGCGTGATGTGGGCTCAAGACGCGAATCCATCGATGGACTACCAACACGTCATGAATGAATCTGCTGTGAATAAATTAACCGGAATCTTGGCGGATGATTCTCCCTTCATGCAACAGCGGTCCCTTTATGTTAACTACTCCGAAGATGCCGGTGAAATGATGGTTAAGCCGACAACTGTCTACACGACCGTTAGCGACATTCAGCACTCAGATGATGATGCAAACGACTTGTTTCCTTCTGTTGAGACAGTCCAAACTGACCGTTCGGAACCTATGTACGAGGTATCCAACGACGTTTCAGATGCCGACTCGCCCCTCATTGAGGCTGCCATGCATGAAGTATGTTGGTCTCCCATACTTCTTATTTGTAGCGCCATTTTTACTGCCTCTTTTTCGTAGTGCTGGTCTTGGGGAGCGCATTTTCATGTCGCTTACCATGAATTACTCCCAAAACATCTTTATGAACATATGATGTTTTAATTTCTGTTTTATACTTGGCTTAGCTGTCACATTGTTCATAGGCCATTGTGCATTGACTGCACTACATGGCCTGGTCGATATTTTCTCTCCTGTCCTCCAGCCCAGTTATCGGTTAAGTATTGTTACTCCTCATTAATCTTTGAAGATTCTGTTGAATGCCAAAGGATCTTGCCTGCTTATATTGACAATTCTCCAAAAGGGGACGACCGTAGGCATTCATCTTTCCGCTTGTGTATGGTTTCTCTACGCCTCAGTCTCGATTATTGTCTGACTGTGTTCTCTACTCACACTTTTTCCTGTTCATATGTTGTACCCCCACTTCTCTTTACTTCCATTCTATCCATTTGCTAGCCGTTGAGTCTACTGGCCTTTGCTCGCGTCGCGCGTCAACATGCCACTGGATTCTCTCGTGCACTTGGCCTCGACGATATTACTTTCGATTTGATGCAGCGTCACGAGAGCAACAAGCTGTCACAAACAAGCCTTACATCCTGCATCGGCTCAGGCGCTGCAGAATCAAAGAAATTCCCTACTTCCAACACTTCGAAATTCAGCTCCGAGCTTTGCGATGCACCTCATCTGGCGCACTCCTCTACGCTTCCCATCGGGTCCCAAACGGACAATTTTAAGCCGAAGCTGATTGAACTGATCGAATTACCGACGCAATCAGTTGACATGTTTTTGGACGTAATTCAGCTGTCCCTCATTTCAACGACCTTTGAACCGAACGAAACAGAGAATTACTTTGCACCATATTCCAGCAATATCCTTGTGTGCTGCGGACGTAGTCAGAATTTTGCCCCTGTTGCTAATATTTATCATCACCCGGCCTGTGTCGGCGGACTTTATCTCTTCGGGTAAGTTTCATCTCACTGCACATGTTACGCTACAAAGCAAAACGTTTCCTGACCGCTCGTGGGTTGTTGATTATCCGCCATCAGGCTGTCGCAACGGCACTGGACGTTAACGTGGTGCGACGGTTTGTGCACTTCTACGGCCCACACAGCTAAACTGGATGGTATTCCCTTGAGTGTTATTCCTTCCTACCAGGTTTGTCTATGCTTAGGGGTCCGACAAGACTCAGTCACCTGGTCCTCTAGGTTGGGGTTGGAAATGAGATCGCGCCCATTTTCTAAAGAACCGGATCGTTGCCATTTCCCCGCTGCCTGCTCCCATAACCTTTGAGCCAAAATGTTTGGTTGATCACCCTGGTCATCCTGTCTAGTTCTGGTCGGCCCGGTAGTATCTCAGCCCGCGTACAACTGATTATTTCCTAAAGATTCAACCGCGTTCTACATCGGTCGTCGCATAGCTATGCACGGATTGCCGTATGTGATGTATACAGCAGGCGGATAAGCGAAAACATGCTACTGCTGATGCCTCCATTTGATCTTTTCCACTTGTTTCCCATACTCTTCTTTCGACCCAATTGCCAATCTTCCTTTTATACTTCCCAGCAGCCACAATGCCACCGCATTTCTACCCCTTGTAGCGACCTTTCCGCAACACCCACCTGATGCCTCTAGTCAGCAGCCCCTTATAAGACCACGCTTTCCTGTTTCCGCGTCGGCGTTCAACCTTCGCATTCTAAGACAAATAGGTCAAAAAGTTGCACTCGCACTCACATTGGTCACCCTGGGTACTGACGTATGTTGCCTGTCCGAAAGTAGGAGCACTTACCCTCACCTAGCCGTTGAGTCAGCTGCGCTCGGAACTACTCGATGCTGTTTGTTTGTGGTTGCCACTTATGCACCCAGTGGCTGCACTTCTGATGCTGCCAAAGACGCCTTTTCCACCAACTGACCACGCTGCTGCGCATTGCTACCAGTTAAGATACCATAATTCTTGCAGTGGATATGGATGCGCAATTAGTTATTCTGGGCTCCACAGAAGCTTATCTGGGTGGTAAACATAGTCTTAACTATGACTGGACGAACAACGGCAAACTTATGTTACAACTGCGTGCAGATCACCGGCTGTTTCTTACTAGCACCGCTCTTAGACACACTGGGCGCCGAAGTACCACTGAGATGGTCAGCGATGGACCCAAACTGAACACGTTGCCGTAAGTTACAGGTGACGTAGTTCCATCCTGGTTTGCTGCTCGTTCTGCCATGTTTTAGTACGCTGTCGTTTTTTTTAATACTTTACCGGTAAGCATACCAAACAGTTCCCTTGTTTGGAAGCTGGATATCTCTTCCACTTTTCCATCAGGCAAGCATGCCAGAATGTGCTTTGCTGTCTAATCCCAGTGACTTAGATTCAATGGAATAGGATCTCGGCCACCATGTTTTATGCGGGAGCCTCTGCTTGCGATACTATCAACCGTCACAGCACTAGTCACCGGATATCCGAGAGGTCGGTAAACCTGATGGAATGCAGAAGAAAACACCCTGCTGGCTCTGAGCACAATACAAACAAACAGAATATCAGGTGCGATCTAAAGTCATGGATCCTGCTTGCTGACAATGAAGGCTGGTGGAATAGTAGGGCTCACGAAATGGAGGACTCGAGAGCAGTAGGCAATTAGCGCCATCTCTTTCAACTGATCTGCACCACTGGTCGCAAAAAACGAGGCGTCAGCGAGACAATCAGAGATAGCGTGGGTGCCCTGATTCACGATAAACAGCGCTGTATGGCTCGCTTACCAGAACACTTTCGAAAAAAGTTCACTTTCTCCCTTGATACAATGTGTAGGCTGTGCCATGGCCGTCTAGTGTAGTGGCTCTCGGAGAGACTAATGTCCAAAACGCGATCTCAACCTATATCGTTTTCAATCTGCTGGTCCGGATTCCCTCGCATTAGCTTTGTTTGAGGATGGTAGTGAGGTCCTCTGCGAATTACGGGCCTTCTTGTTCGACCAGGTCTGGTAGGAAGAGGCCACCTAACCTGACTTGTGTTAATCGACCATGGGGGCACTGTACGCTATTTGCAACCACACCGTATGTGCGACTGCAGCAATGTTAGCCTGACTCCGTTGACGACATAATTACTTTGCCTCAATTAGCTAGACAGGGATCCCAGGTTGGGCGAGAGCAAACAGGTTTCCGCTCAAGACGCGGATGTTATCCCATATCCACTCTGCGGCACGTGATTGAGCAGCACCCATCACCGTGTTCCTGGACTACAAGAACGCGTTCGACTACGTCGATCAATCCATTCTGTTCTAGATACTTGTGCGGAAAGGTGCCCCTATGAAATATGTGAACATTTACGTGCCCCGTACTTGAACACCACACGCCGCATTAGCGTCTACGCTGCCTTGTCGGATATCTTCCCAACAGTAAGTTTCCTTCGTCAGGATTGCTCCATTTCCCGATTTTGTTCAACTTCGTCGTGGACTGGGTCATGAAGTGTTTTCCTGCGGAGTCTCACGATGCAAGCGTTGAGAAACTAGTTTATCTTGATTAGGCGGATGATACTATGTTACTGTTTGACGATGCTGCCGTTGGGTTCACACGTTTCACATTGTCATCGCTTTTGTTGCCCACTTGCTTTGGCGTTTTAGCTACCAGTATAATTTTCACTGTTATCTCAATTCTCATTCGACCTGATATCTTAAATTGCCTTCATGCGTCGTAAGCTCTCGCGCCTTTCTCATGCCCTCCTAACGGTGTTTCTGACCGGTAAATTCTTACTCTCCTTCTGAATCGTCTTAGGTTATTTTTGAATTCCAGGTGGTAGGTATTTTTACGTGGACGGACAACAGGTTTTCACCATCACCTCTGGCTGCTAATTACTGCCTAGCTGCATCACGTGTAAATGTCTTTGCGGTGCCCCGTGGGACAACATTTGATGACCTTAGTCACATTTTTTTCTTTTGTCGTTTCCCTTGTGAGCGCTGTTTACTTGAACCTTTAATCCACCGTTCCGAGTTGAATTTCACGTCTTCACTGTAATCATTGTACTTTAGCTTTTCTCACTGGGGCTTTTGTCTTAGCAGACCTCAGCGCTTACGGTCATTCATATCAGATTGATGTGTCTTCAACGTATAAGATCCTAAACCTTCTAGCGTCCATTTTATATGGCCTTGCAGTACAACTCATTTATTGTAACTTACATGGTTATATAGCGTCTATGAAGATTTCTATTTCACCTTTTCGCCTCTCTGATTCCAAGTCAGGCATAATATATGAATTATCTTGTTGTGGTCATTATCGTGGTCACCAGCTCATCGTTAGTCTTGGCGCGTTGTGGACCGTAGTTCTGAATACATTTTTCCACTTTTATTCTCATGGATGCACAATTATGTCGTCCAGGTCTTCTCTTAACACAATACTCCTTCCCAACCCTCCCCAAACACCACTCCCCAAAATATCACCTAATTACCC